CGAGGAAGGTCGTATCAAAGACAAACGTCTGCAGTTTAGAACTATTCATCCGTCCTCTTGTGTTGAGATCGACCTACGAATCTCTCCTTCATCCATTTTCATATGAAATGAAAGTCGCACCGACCAGAACTCTTACGACTGTATACAGTTGCTTGATGCTGAGGCGATAAAAAGAGGAGATTCGCCGTAGGGTCCGAGGACCCCAAGCTTCGGATAAACGAGGCGATGAAGGTCTTGGTCCCTGATTGACCTTTAATGCTAGGTTGTATGAAATGCAAACGTATTTTTGCTATAACAATAAAAAACACTACTTATTATTCGTATATAAGTAGAGTTTTGAGACTACCAGTAAATCAGTGATATGAGATGCGATTGTTATAGCCAAAATTCGTATGTGATATGGGAAAAGATCTAGCCTTCTGTGAAATTCACACCTGCACTGTGCCCCAAGGACAATGCGGCAATGCGGCTGAGTCGTTAACGTACCAATCTCCCATTCTGGACTGTCACGGTTCGACTCCCGCTGGGGCTGTTGACAAGACCCATGCAAGGTGGAGAATGGATGAGAACAACTTTTGTGGAAGCAGTTTTACTTTTATCATTTTGGGAAAATTCCACTACCAATCCTTCATCAACTCGAACGAAATATGATGAATACATCTCATATTACTGATTTACTCTACTTAAAAAAAATAAGTAGTATGAGCAGACATGTGGTTTAGCCATGGGATCTTGGTTAGCCCCGATTTTAGCCAATAACTGCATGGCCAAATTGGAAGTTTTCGTTCTTCCTGAAGCTCGTCTGAAAAGATGTCGAACAAGAGCATAAGGAAAGTTGTATTAGAAAGCGACTAAGGTTGCAGGTGGTCACTTTTGCTCAATTTTTGGATGAGAAGACTTTTTGAGAAAGTAAAAATGCGTGAAATTAATAAACAAAATTATTGTGAAAAAGTTTAACTATTCGTTTTTTATCACCTTAAACGAAATCGGTTGAATACTTCCCACATAACTGACTCACTGGCAGTTTGGAAACCCAACTTATGGACGTATTTCCCGATTACTTTGAGCCATCACTTCGAACACAAACAGAAACAGACACACTCACACGTGACCGTAACTAACCAAGTCACTTTATACTTGATCAAAGAGGCCAGATGTAGAGTATGTGTACCACTTTTTATGGATTTGCCGGTGAGTTTTCTTGACGATGACACCTCGCTCTGATGATGTTCGTCACATGACGGACGAAAGCTTAGCATCTTTTCACCGGAATCGAACGAGATTGCCTCGGAAACAGCTCAACAAGTAGTTCATTCGCTCCTGCCTCGAAGCGCCTCAATCGGTTTCTGTATCACTTTCAGCAGCACTCGAATCCGGGATTTGGACTTGATGCCATTA